GTTTACCTTCGACATTTGAACTCGATTAGGTGCCTGCGTACGCGAAAATAACAAAACTGAACCTTTTTAGGAGCGCACCATCTAGGCCATCTAGGGGTAGGGTAAAATAATTCGATAGTTTTATTTGATTACATCTCCACTCTATTCTCAAGGGACTGTTTACGCCTTTCCTTTTAGATGGAGCCAGTTTCGCGTTAAATTTTTTTAAATAATTCTTAATTAAAGATTAAATGAACATAAATGGTTACCAGAAGATCATCAGTTATTATCATACATCTAACGCAGATATTTTGTTTCAGGTATGTGTTGCCGTCCTGTGCTACGAGTATTGCAATCTGTACTGGTAAGTTTTTACTAAATCAAAATCTTGCAATTATTTAAAATAGGCACGATTCAGTTAGCTTTGCAAATTCGAATCATTTATAACGCATGGCATCGTCGCCTTAAAACAAACTTGTGCTGCAGTGTACCGCCGTTGTTTTCTTTTCGCCATCGCAAAATTAAGCCTCCAATTTAAGGAAAAGCTGAGTGACAACTTTCTTTAATAAAAAAATTCATTTTCTGCTGCAGCACTTAATTTTTAATTATTGGGGAACATGATTTTTTTACTCAAAAAATTTAGCAGTAGATTCCAGTTTGAGAAACACATTTTCTTTTAAATTAAACATTAAATTTTTTTAGTTTTCTGCTATGTGCGGGTTCTATTTTACCGTGTCCGCCCCATTAATTAAACTGTGCTGTCAAAGTTTAAAAGATTACATTAAAAAAGAACTAACGCTCAACAGACGTATGATATACGTTTACACGGTAGTTTTAATCTATGCGAAGAGAAAATTGCTGTGACAGACGTTTACTAATCATCGCAAAAAATTTGTCGTTATCTCTCGGTCTATTTAGTTAGAGGGAGCACTATAGACTCGCATATTTCCTGCCACCCAAAACTTGGCATTAATTTAGCGACCGTGCGAGGGGGAAAAATCGACCCCTAACGTACAAAAAAAAATTGTTTAACCGTCACGCAAAAAAGGTATCAAATTCTCATTCCTGTTAAATATTAATACCAGCCAAGAAATTGGAATTCATTTATCCACGTATGAAGGGGTGAAATCTGCCCCTAACGTATAAACACATAATAATAATAATATAAGCTTTTATTGAATATTGAACGCATTTAACCCCTACGCATAAAAGGTTTCAAATTGTCATGCTGGGCAAAACATTAAGATTCATATTTGCTACCACCCAAGAAATTGGAATTCATTTATCGATCGTCTGAGGGGGTGAAATCCGCCCTTAACGTACAAAAAAATCGTATAACCCCTCGGCAAAAAGGTCTCCAATTTTCATCCCTGTTAATAAAAGAAAGATTCTTATTTTGTACCACCCAAAAAACTGGCATTATTCTAGCGACCGTCTAAGGGGTGAAATCTGCCCATAATTTGATTCCATCCCTTCGGACAATCTCTAAATGCCATGACTGTGACAGTGGCAACTTTTTAAATATACTATACAACTATACTTCACTGGACGTTAATTTCACACGGGTTGCCAGTGTCACGTGTTACAGGAATAGCAAATACACCACATTTATCTAGAGAACGAGCATAGTCTAGCAGACTTCGTGTTTTTTTATTTTAAAAAATTTCTTTGTTATTTAAGAAAGTTGAACAGCAGCTTAAAATCAGACCAGTCGTTGCACCCGAAAACGGTAGTTAGAACGCATTAAAACAAACAACTATTCTCATAGTTCCAATTTTTGATTTGGTGCCCTGGTTCGAAGTTTTTGTTTTTGGAAAAATCATCATAACTCAAAAAAACATTCAAAACTATCTTTCAGTATTTACAATTATGTTTTTATTTTTTCAACTAATAAAATAGCTCAAAAATTTTACAAAAATATTTTTTAATAACCACCCCATCGATTTCCTTCGCAGGATATATTGAAAAATAATTTTTAAGGCAAATGTTATAGTAAATAGTGTAGGAATTTTATTAATGCTTTATTTTAAAAATTCGATGGGGAGGTTATCAAAAAATGTTTTTTTTTTAAATTTTTGATCGATCGCCATTTGAGTATTTGACAAAATAATTATAAATAGGTACAAATGTTTTAGAGAACTGAAAGGTAGTTTTAAAAATTTTTCTATAGTCCTTAAAATAAGGGAGTTATGACGATTTTTCAAAAACTGCGAACCGTGGCACCAAATCAAAAATTGGAACAAGAAAAATTGTTTGTTTTAATGAGTTCTAACTGCCGTTTTTGTAAGAAGCAAGAATTCTTGCTTCTTGTCTTGTCTTGTCTTGCTCAAGACAAGAAGTGATACTTGCATTTTTTGCAAGGTTCCGGCGATCGATTTTGAAATACGTATTTGCTCCACGCGCTTGAAAATAGCTAGCTTGAGTAATCGCGTCAATAGTTATTTACATAAAAGTCAGGGAAGTTTACCATTACTGGCGAGGAATAATTAAATTGAATTAATTTCGGAGTCAAGTATAGTATCACTTCAGGTATCAGGTACATTTTTTCCGAAATTGTCTTTTTAATATAAAATTTGGGCCTGAGTGGTGCAGTCGCGTGGAAGCACGATTGCGGTACTAAAGGCACCTGGTTCGAATCCGTGTTCGGGCAAAAATCCGCGTCCAAAGATAAAATAAAGTGATGACAAGTGAGTCATTATAGACATTAACAAAGGCTATGCCAATGTAATATACGAGGCGGCAGGAAAAGGAATCTGGTAAAGTGACAGGCTACAGGAAAAGTACTTAGGTAAAGTGTTACTGCCACTGCCATGAAAGCTAAAGGGTGAGTAAGTTCGGTTAGCATAATATTTTTCAACATTAAAGGTTGCCATTTGAACATCTGCACAAACTCACAAAATTTATGGGTTCGAATTTAATATCTAATAGTGATATTCTCATTTATCCAATTTTTAGCATTTTTTAACAAAATATTACAACAATTCTGGATTCTTTTTGCATTTCTATCGTAAAATTTTGCACAATATTTGTAAGGTAATTAGTCCAGGGAATAGATGGTTTTAACTTGGAAAATGAGAAGTAGTTCCAATTTCTTTTGCATGTCCTAGACAGTTGGTGGTTAAGAATCTAAGTTTTCGACCTCCCACCCCTTGTGCTTCCCCCGTACCACCCCCAAAACCCCTGAAATTTGGTTGGTTTCTTAGTTTTTCAATCACGTCTTTTTAATGGTTCACTTTAGAAAAAAATATTGTTATCTGAAATTGTAGACCATAAAATTCTACAGAACTTTGATATACACTACTTTTTTGTGAAATGTTTATTAAAAAAGATATAGAGCTTGAAAGTTGGTTATATTTTGAAGAATTCTGAAATTTCTATGTACATGTTATAACCAAATTTCATAGTTTATCTCTATAATTCTAAACCCCCCTACCCTGCACCCTTACCAAAGGGGATGCATAATAATTCAACTTTCAACCCTTGCTGGGGATATTTGAATCACTGTGAGATTGTAGCGTTTTCTAATATACTTTTGAAATAAAAAAATTGTCTCACTTCAGTTCAGCTTCATCCCCCCCCCCCCCCAAATATATTTAAGGATAACCAAAAAACAATAATGGCGCAAAGATATCTTTTTACGGCGCATTTCAGCGCATACCTGAGAGTACAATTTCGTATGAAAATATGTAAAAAAAAAGTAACTTTTAAAAACATTAAGTTGGCCCCCCCACTTTTTGAACATTTGTCACGGCTTAACCGTAATGGCGCTAGCTTTAATTCAAGTGGCGCAATTGGGCGCATAACCAAATGTATCAGGTGACCTAGTTACAAGGGACAAAATACGTACTGGGGGGGGGGGCTACGTTCACTTGGGCCCCCCCAAATGTTTTTTCGGATTTCTAAAAAACGATAATGGCGCAAGAGTTATTATCGGTGGCGCATATGAGCGCATAACGAGCGCATTCATTTCAAAATAATACGACTATCAAATCTCTCAGTGGGGGGGCCAAGTTAACGGACCCCTTTTCTTCAAAAAATTACAAGTGCTACGGATAACAACGGCAATACTTTAATCTAGCAGAAAGGTATAGCCATGCCCTGTGTTTCAAGTACCATTGTACTAAAACATACGGCACTTTAATCTAAGAGAATAGCACAATTAGGCTTAAGATCTGTTTATATTTGGGCAATCTTAAATAGGAACTTTTGGTAATAGCAACATTTTTTGATATTTCGTCACACGCATACCATAACCACAGATATCGTATATCTGTGCCATAATCGAAACTGCTAATCTGGTACAGCGCTTTTCTAATTTGTGAAATTCTGTTGGTTTGAAATAAATAGAAATAACAACCAATACCTAAATAATCCAGAAATACAGGTATGCATTGACTGTTAATTGAATACCGGTCTCCTCAGGGAAAAGCTTTGTTTTATGCTTTAATTTCTCGGGTGGAAAATCATTCTTTTTAACGAGATTTAAATACAAAATTTCGCTTTGATAAAACCACCAAATCGTTATAAAACTTTTATAACTCAAACTTGCGAATAATATTAAATGTATATGAAATCTCATAGAACGTGTACGTGTCTCTTATTTGATCCCACGGAACGTCTGCTAGATTTCTACCGGGGATTTCATTGGGATTTGCTGCAATTTTCGTGGCTTAGATGCTTCCGATTTCACTTCCCTTTATACTTACCGGGTATTATACACTTTTTGGATCTACAGTAATCAATTTTGCGGTTTGCGTGACGTTTTTGTACGCACATGTAAATCAGGCATTAGCGATTTACGATTCATATTACGACTTAATTTTTAATTGACTTGGGAATGGAACAATATTCTTAATGGCTTTCGATCGATTCAGAAGACGTTTCAACGTGTATGAATTTGAAATGTGTAATAGGGCTTCACATTCTCCATGACAAATCCATCAGAACATCAAAATTTTCAAAAAAAGGGACGATTTTTCATATTTCAATTGAGGTAAGGTCAATTGTGTGATAAACAGAAATAATAAGTAGAGGTCATTTTATTTTCAGTCATGAAATCATACAAACATTTTTAAGTGTTTCAGAAATAGTATCCATAACCTGAAATAGTAAGGTATAGTTCGAGATTCACCAACCCTTTACCATAATATAGGTACCCATTCCGTAGCCCATTCCGTACGGCATTCCGTATCCGTAGTTCCAATACTGAGGTTTAGCTCTGGGCATCGGATTTGGAGACGGATTGGCACGAATTAAACCCAAAAGTGCGAACACAAACGTAAGCTACAAAATCATACAGAAAACTATGCAACTTTGGCAATCTGGCAACTTACCAAAAGTACTGCCTTCATTTTTCACTTGCTTTGTTGTAGAAACCTAAGCAACTTGGTGTTCTTCACGAACGAAGCGTGTTTTATACCATTTCGGTAATTACGTTCCCATTATTAATTAACCATCAGGTTCATATCGTTCTTGTTTACCCGATTTTATATCAAACACCATTAACACTAATTCCCTCATTTATGTGGCTATCTACTAGTGATAATTTTATTAGTGTAATAATGCCGTATTTAAATCTTAAGAATAATATGATGCATCCAAAATCGAAAATATCCGAAACCTTAAATCATAGCCAATAGCAGTTACTTATTATTATCAATTAAAGTTTTTATCAATAATCCGATCTCAGGTATATGAAAAATATGGATCTCAAGAAACTGAAGAAAAGATTAATAAATTAAAGAATCTAAAGAAATGGAAGAATCTGAACAACCTGAAGTATTTTTAAGTTCGATAAATGAAAAATGGAAGCATTCCAAAATTTAATGTCTAAAGAAACTAAAGCATCTGAAAAATTCGATGAAAATGAAAATCATCATTTGCATTTCCCGGTGACGTGTGGAAACTAACACCCCAGGACCTGGAGTTTCATTCATTATTAGCAAACGTTACTTAGACAAAATTTAACGTTAAAGAGAATGTAGTGCAGAAGTTAGTACCTAATATCTTAAGTTAAACAGTTTAGAAAGGGATGTTAAAAATTTTAATAAAGGCAGAGTAATCTCACTTTTATACTTGCCTCAGGATTAATAAATTTGCGGGATAATAGACGCGTTTACCTTTCTGAAATTAAACGCGCAGTTTACGTCCCGGAAACCCCAGTTATCCTAATTTAATTTATGCATTGGTGATTTTTAAAGAATTCCTTCCGCGGAGATGATTTAAGCACAATCTAACCGTACCTGACCCTTCCCATTAAATACGCTACGCGGCGTTCTACGAAACTTTCCCTTAAATTACGAGAATGAGGTTTAAAGGAGCGAGGGCGCATTTTTCTTTTTTGAGTTTTCTACGCTGTCGCGTTCGTCACATTTCCAACGGAATAAAACTGGGGTGTGACAGTGCCGATTGTTTCTAATTTATATGCCAGCCCTTCCGCCCTTTAACTGAAGTGATTGACATTACATCTTAGTCACTCTGAACGTGGTTATAATTACGATTCTTGCATTTTGCCGGTTACATTTTAGAATTTAATTGTGTATTGCTGTCTGACCGTCTGTCTTCCCGTGTGTACGATAACTTTGTTTAGAAACGTTCGATCGCTTGTCTTAAGAATATAAGAAAGGTCGCTATTGCATTTTCCATTTTCCAGGAAATTTGCCCTATAGATATTCTCACTAGATTAGAGCGTTGTGTGCGGGTGCACCATCCTGTTGAAACCACAGATTCGAACTTTGTTTCTTTGTGTGCCGTTCATCGTTGTATTCGTAATAAAAAATGGCACCCAATGTAGTATGGACTTTTTTACGGGAATTATAAAAAACATAAAGTTGATGATGATTTCTCCAAAACGAAACGTTGTATTGAAAATCCCTCAACTCTGTCTAGTGGTCTTTAAAGACGGTCCCGACCTTTTAAATAGATGCGAAAGCTGGCAGCGCCAGTGAGTCGTGGGATATTGCGTGGTTGCTTGAAGTTGCAGAAGGATTCTGCTTATTTTGTATTGGTGTAAAAAGGTTGCACCTCGGGATGGGTGTTACTAAAAAAAATAATAAAGTAGTGGGAACTCAGGGCAATGCGCGTTGAATCGCCATCTGACATGGGTAGGTTGTGTTTGGTATTCGCATTCTCGTCGAGCTGCCAGCGCAGTTAAGTTGGTCACCTGTAATCTAGCGAAGGGTAGTTTTACATATTGGTGGAAACTTGTTTTTTTTAGTAGCGATGTTGATTACGTGTAACAATAATAGCAAAAGTAATTTAAAGTTTAGTGGCCCTCATTCACGAAGAATAAGTTGCGAATTAGAAAGTATTAGGACGAATGCGGACATGCGTAAGCTTTTTTCATACTTAATAACTGATATTTTTGTACTTCAACCTTCCCACTGATTAAAATTAAATCTTTTACATAAAACTCGTTTTTATACCTCAAGGTAGAACAAATTTATGGGGCCTTCAGAAAACCCCGTTGGAACAGAAAATGACTCAGTCAAATTCGACTTTAGTACTTGAACAAAATATACTGGGTGGTTTCATTAGAGGGCAGATTTCTCCAAAATTTTGTTGTGTAAATTTTTGGACTAAGAAGCCTGACTATTATTTGCCTGGGAGAGCATGGTGGAGATAGCAAGTCGCGTGATAAAGTACAGGAGATTCAAACCTTCTGAAATGCGCTATTCAAGCAATTGGATCTTCAATACTTTTAGATAATCCAAATCTGACAAAAGCACTGTGTAACATTCAATCGCTGCTTTAGAAGAGTTAAAAATTACCTTTCAACTCTGATTGTAAGGACCTTTTGAGCTCAGAAGCACACTTTTCTGCTTTATCTGTAACGGATAGAACTACAAACAAATAAACAAGGGGGATAGTGAATAGCCCGGAACATAAACATTGCGGTAACAATGTCCAACGTCTGACACTAGGGTAAACCGAGTACTAAAACCGTAATTAATCCTAATTAAGAGTAAATAATTCAATTTACGTTAACAAACAAAAGCAAAATTTTGATCGACAATGAATTGTCCGTACAAATCTGTAGAGTAAAAATCGAATGTTAAATAAATTAAGAAAAAGTTTGAGCGAGAATCAGTTGAGCATAACACTCCTCTGGTCGTCGTGAGAAGGGTTCGTGATATTACACAAACAAATTTTATTTTACAAATACACAAAATTAAAACAACCATTACAATCCTGTTAACATGGAAATGGACCACAATATTTAATTAAAATTCTTCATGAGTGGTCAGAACTACAATCAATTACTAAGTAAAACTTAAAGTTACTTACAGTTTTTTCGAGTCACATAAATCACTAATCAATCCGACGGAAACAAAAAAAAATACCTGATGACACGTGACACAAAAATAAACTTGGTTTTACTGCTTCCTTTCCCCGATAGTTTCGTAGTAAAGTTTATCCATATCTTTCGTTAACGTACTCAAAAAATCAAAAACTTCAAAAACTCGCCGTACACGCTCTAAACAAATTGCCTCATTAAACTCGCCTTCTTCGGAAACAGCACAAACGAAAATCAAACCGGCCTTCTACTTGACAACTAACTCGAACAGCTTTTCTTCACACTTCAACACATAGTCGGTCTCAAACTGGGCATAATTAAATTCCTTTTTCTTTTCTAAAAAGAGCACTCGAAACTGGCAAAAAGGCTTCTATAAACGGAACGTAAGTTAGCCTCGAAAAATTTTATACAAAAAAAATACTGCTCCGACGAACAGCAGTTCGGCCTCAGTAACCAACAAAGAGAGTCTTCTTTCCGCATCTCCCCGTATTTAAATGTAAATCCCACTTAAATTTCTTAAAACTTCATCAACCAATAAAACAAAATTCAAGTCGTCACGTCCACACTAATTTTTAGAATTTTCCTTATCTAAATCAACATTTCTGCCTAATAATGGAATTTTTTCTTAATGATTAAAATTGTCACAATTACCTTTACCTTTCTCAAATAAACGAAAAGCTTAGTAAACCATATTGAAACTGTTACATTCGCATTAATGAGCACCGTGATAACAAATAAAATTGGGGTATAAAAATTCCTTAATCTAACAATTCCACGGAATACTCCATCATTTATAAAGAAAATAAACAACTAAGGCCTTGACTACACGCTGGATTAGCAAAATTGTTTTGTGTTAAAATGTAATTAGATCCACAAGGATATTTTCGATTCTCAGAAATGTAAATTTCAGATAGTTCGAGATATTTTTAACATAAATAAATCACAAAGATTATGAGATGATTTTCTGACTTCGTCGCTCACCCATTTATGGGAAAGCCGAATCAAACGTACCTTTTTAAAGGAAAATATATATTAAAGTGGTATTGTAATTCATTATAAAAGATGCTTCATCGAGATCTGCACATTGATGAAGCTTCTTCCAATTTGAATTTCCTACGGCTTTTGCTTAAAATTGTTTATATTCTCCATTTCGCACAAGCTTGGAGTGCTTCTCTTCGGGGAGAACGTTAGCGCTAGTATTAATATTGAAATTCGATTGGTAATTGAGTTGAGATGTTGACCGCAATATTCATAATTTACATATAAAGGATCGAGCGTATTGTTTAGTCTAGTAAATTCTTTTATTATCATTCCTCGTAACTATTGGAGTTCGAGCACTAAAAGGAACTACCAAAGAGCACTACTGAAAATTGCAAAATGTCACATTAATGTTTTCATGTGCCTTCATTTAATTGCGAGATGTAAAGGAGTTAATCTAAATTGTTTGTGTATAGCTCAAATTGGAAATTTGACCTCTCCTCGGTCGAAAATACGTACTTTCCTCTTTCCATTGTGAAACTTTGAGTTGTTCTGTAAAAGTTGGACTTGATATATTATTTACAAGTAGATAGACTTACATATAAACATCGCTTCGGTTTTCATGGACCTACACTCTAGGTATAAGTCTGTACAAAAGAAGTCGAGGGGTTTCTTATGGTTGTGCCTTAATCCGATTTTCTTTCAGCTCTACATACCTGCTGAAAAATATATAAATTCCACAAAAATTGTACTATTTGATGATAAAACTCGAGCCACACAATGGATACACTTGTCACATTGTTGAAAGGTTCACGGTGAGATTATAACTTTGGTAGGCACGTATGTTCGCATTTTAAGTATCGGATTACCTGTACGCTACAGTGAATAGCTTATCTCTTGTGGCCCTGTCGATTTTTATTGTAAAAATTTTGGAAAGTGAACCTAATAAGAATTTAAACTAGTCATGAGAGTCCTCCATTTTGCTGCGTTCTTAGGTTCATATCGGTAGCTTCCTTTCTTCGTTTCCGTTTAGTGTTTTCGATCAAAAAGAGTATGGCCACAAATTGTTCAGCACATTTAATGATCTTTTTGGTCCAGACCGTAGTGGATGATGATTAATGCCTCGAAAAGTATGACTTAAACGTGTCTTCAGAAATCGGAATTTGCACAGATTATATCC